AACACAACCTAATGGTAAGCGGCACAAAGAACCAGCCACCGCGCGTGCCATGTAGCAGCACAGCAGACGTTGTCTGTTCCCCCGAGCACAGGTCACGAAAACCACTGACCCTGTTTGTAAATGGGGCACGCCAACTGCTTCAACGAATGCTCCACTCCACTTTAACAGTCTCTCCTTGCTTGCTGATGCAAGGGCAGGTTTTCTACTTGACCTGTTTTCCCTCATGGCAGCACTGCTCACAGATATCCCACTGCTGTGTGAGAGCCTGGAAGGAGCATGGCAGCAGCTAGGGGGATGCCACTGAAGCAAGGTGGTCTGCAGCATTTCTGGGGTGCTTGTGACAAGTCAGCAGCACGTGTTTAAGGAGCACCTGCCTCCCTCGCAAAGGTGTGAGCCAGCAGGACTGGCAGGCCACCTACCTCGAGGGACATCCGTCAGGAAGAGGATGTTGTTGGTGGCGCACCCAATACTGGCGGCAATCCTTCTGTAGCTCTCACTTTCTACCTTGGGGCCTATTTTGGTATCAAAGTGGCCATCAAAGAGCTGAAAGAGAAAGAAAAACCAAAGGCAGTTGCTGAGTGACACCTGAAGAGCAAGGCTAAGCCTTGCTCCTGAGCAAGACGTCCCCCTTCCTTTCTACCACAGTAATGGGGGCCGATGCAGCCATGCTAGCATACTCAACTGGCTGAGCTTAACTCCTGCGGGTCAAACCCACTGCCCCACCTTCCTGTCCCAGACTCTATTCACGAAGCGTTATGGCAAGGGCAGTTGTGGGAAGGAAGTGCTCTGCAGAGGGAGAAGCTGTAAGGAAGGTGACAAGGTTATCTACCTCTAGGATATCACCTTCTGTAGAATATCCGAACAGAAGCTTCTGAGCTTCAATGCTGCCCGAGGAGTAGATATAGACCTTCATCCCCGCTTCCCGCCACTTCCGGATGGCTGGAACCACATCCTCGAAGATTCTAGAGCAAAACAGGGCAGCAGGTAAGGGCAAAACCAGAGGCACCTGGAGGGACACCTTTAGCCAGGCACTGTTGACAACTGTCCCATTAGTTTGCAAGGGGACTTCATTCTCATTCTGCTCAGGGCTTCTGCAACCAGGGAGTCTATTTCAGCAGCAGGTGATATATTCTTAGCTCCAGCCAACTGAGCAGCTCATTGTCTGCTACGCAGACAGCAGCTCTGATGAGCTGTTTCAGACATTTGGCAGGAGTTTCTCCAGCCCCTTCAATTTGGAGAGGGGAGGAAAGGTTGGAGAAAATAGCATCCCGCTGCTTTTCTGTGTGAGGGAGAAATAAGGGGGGAGGACAGGGAAGACAGGCTCTTGCATCCTGAGGCCCACCTGCCTTGCAAGCTACAAAGGTTTCCCTATTGGTAAGAGCTATGGCTGTAAGCTGCATCCATATGGGGCAAACCCATACCACAGGTTCAGACTCTGACCAGGCATAGGGAGGAGCTGAGAGGAGGTTGCAGCTGCAGGAGCTAAATGAGTGGCAGTGTACAAATGTTTGAAGCCAGACAACAACTTGGGAAAGGAGTGTCTGCTAAGGGACTGAGGTCAGAGCTATTCTATTCAGCGACTCGGTCAGGTTGTACAGTATTACCCCATGGGCCAGATGTGTCCCTGGCTTAACTGCACCACAGAGGGTGAACCAGCTCCTGTTCACTAGGCAGCAGCATCCTTCCCCTTATTCTTCTGGCCTTGCAGAGTGCTGGGAAGGCAAGATATTGGTCTAGCAATGGGCTGATGAGTCTCAAAATGTGAGCTCCATCTAACTCCCGGGTGGTAGCCACCCGCAGACAAGCCTAGCAGCGGGGAGCAAAGCTGTGAGAGAGGGAAAG